TTTCCTTGATTGAAGTGGTGGACTAAAGAGTTCATGAGCTCAAGAGCTGAGCTCTTGCTGGATTGGCATGTGAGGAGCTGATAGCACATTGGAGAGATCAGACAACTGCCTGTCAGCACCTGTGGAATGTCAGCACCTGTGAATTCCAGCTCCGCTAGCACAGCCCCTCCTGATCTTCATTTTTCCCATATGTAAATGAGGAAGTTAATCTAAGGAGCGGTAAAGGTCACTTTAAAAGTCCTGTAATTTGGCGTGGGGTGATGGGTTAAGAGCTCTTCTTGCATAAACATGCATGCGTGAGTTAAGACCATCCAACATTCATGTAAAAAGCTGGGTATGGCCATGCCTGTTCCTGAAACACCTGTGCCACTGTGGAGGGAGAAGACAGAAGAGGTTTGTTGGGGCTTGCTGGCTGAGTAACAGTGAGCTCCAGATTCAGTGAAATACACTATCTTCTCTGAAATGTGATACAGCAGGACCCTGCACCTCTCCTCTGGCCGCTATGTGCATTCACGAATATGTGCAATCTCATGCACGTAGACACATAAACCACCCACACATATGAACCACATATGCACATACAAAAGCACTGTAATTCATGGAAGATGGATAATATGACTAGTCCTCGTGGTAATTTTGGAAGATTAGTTTTGAACTATAACTACATCCATTATTTTTTTGCTGAGTCTTTGTGTGCTGTCTTTCTAGTGGGTTTACTCATTCCTACCATGCCTACCTTACAGGACTTCTGGGAGGGTTCAGTGAGATCCTGGGAACTTTAATACTTTGGATAATAACACAGTGAATGAACACAGATGACATTATTCCTGTTGAAAGTTAGCAGAAAGGTGTTGGGTTTTTTGCTCCCCTACCCATGTTACTCCTCAAAAAAAGAGATAAGTTAAAAAGGGAGTTTGATCCCAGGGTTTATGGAACTCCTTGGAACTCTACAGGGTCAATAGCAGCTTTGTCCTATTGTCCCCAATGGTGGTCAGTTTCCCACCATTGGGATGAGGCAGCCATGCTTCTCCTGACAACACTTTATCAAACATACCTGCCACACAACATGTGGCAATTCGTTAGACAAAAGTGAGGTTTTGTGTTACAGTAGCCTCCACTTGTTAAAAGCCTCTTGGAATCAGAGATCTTCTGCATGGGCCAGCAGACACCAGACATGCACGTGTCCCCAGGTTCACAGATGCCTTATATGTCTAGCTTGATTAAATCATCCCCCAAATTTGTGTGTCACATCTGACTTCATCTCTCAGTGAGGGTATTTTTTAACTCCTCCTAACGCCTCTGAGTTCCTTTAAGAAAGTGTGATTCGAAAGGATCAGATACTTGGCTTGTACTTAAGGGAAAACTTTGAAAGAATTCCTGAGGCCCTCCTGGGGTAGGACTGGCTTTCTCCAAAAGAATTGGCTCTTCAGAGCGTCTTTGCCACATAAGGGCTTGTGTGGGGCCCAGGCACCAGTTGACGGCTGTCTTACCCATGACAGATGGTCAGGACTTCAATTTCAGCAAGTGATCTACTGCTGAGGGGGTGAGCGGGGGACTCTGCCAGCAGGCCAAGTGGCGGGGCAGCTTAGGGTAACCGGGATCCGGTGTGTGCCCGGCATAACTTTTGTGCTAACGATGAGCTGCTGACAGGCGCCTCATCCCAGCTCATCTCTGAGGCAGAAGATCCCCAGCTCCCTTGATTCTCTTTCTCTCTGGCAGAGACAATGTCCTGTTTGCCTGTCTTTCAAAACCCATTTTGGCACCAGATGGAACCCCTTGTGGTGACTAGCAGTTGTTGGACTTGAAGATACCAGAGGGTGTGCTGACAGCTTCTACTGACACGACCTGAATCTGGCTGTCAGGCCTGGGCTCAAATGGCTTAAACACACACAGGCGGCAAATATTATCAGCCATGGGGAGGCAGGCAGGGGGGCCTTTTGGAGGGGGACTGGCAGTGTATCCCTCCACAACTTGGTGATGCCTCATAGAGATAATAATCCTGGCTCTTCCCCTTAGTGAAACCATTGCTTTGCTCACTCTTATTAGCACAATTGCTACGATAGTACAATTACCGTCAGTGAAGCAATTAGTGTTACTATCTTCACTACACAACTTCAGATCATCAAAGCTTCTGTGATGGCATTGGTGGTGTGATGGTTGACAGCCCCATCCCTGGGACCCGCCCCATTGGAAACTAGATTCTATATTCACATTTGTTTGCTTTGTTCTCATGGGTAAAATAGGGTTTGTAGCAGGGAGCTGGTAGTTAGAAGGGTGAAATGGAAAAGGGTTTGCTGTTCTCAGCACCGTGCTAGGTACACATTAAGCATGTATGACTGCCATCTCCACCGTGCTGACCCATGTCAGGCACTACATAGCCTTGTGAATACACATTCTTATTATGCCTATTTTATAGATAAGGACAGTTGAGGTTTGGCCTCATGTCCAAAGTCCCATGGGTAATACTAGGTGCAGTTAGTATGTATGTGAATCCCATACTGATTATTTCTATAAAAGCTGTGGTTTTCCACCATTACCACATCACACCATACTAACTCTCATTGTGAATAGAATTATAACTAGTCCTGTTTGGAGCCTGGCCTGGTTCATATATACCCTTTTAAGTAGCTGTACTGCAAAGAAGCAACTAGTTTTCACGTCAGGCAACGTAGAACCAAGCCCCAGTTATACGGGTTCCCATTATCACTAGCTCTACCACATTTAATGGTGTCTGAAAGCCATGTGTGTATCAGTTGAGTCACCTTCTGAGGCTCAGAGGAACAGGACAGTGCAAGTGCTCTGTAGAAAGAGGACCCTAATGAGTCAGTGACTGGACACCTGGCCTGTGCAGGGGCAGAGCTGCTCTGGACATGGGGAAGGCAGTGTTGATTTACCACACACAGCTGAACTTAAGCAGCGTTCTGTGGGTCATTTATCCTGGAGAGAAGGTTGCTAAGCTTTGGCCTCTGTGGAGAGGCCCTGAAGTAGGGGTGAAGGATTATCAGAGGCCTACCCTCCCACTGATGGGCTTCTGAAGTGAGTCAATGTTAAAAGATTCATTTTAGGAAGATGTTTACATTGTAACAGTCTCATCATTTTCATTTGACAAACGTCATTGCTTCTCTTTGATGCTCCCACATCATCTTCTCATCCTGGAAGATTCTAAGAGACTGTAGAGAACAGAGATTCCTCTGGGATTAGTATTCAAAAGGCGATTGAGCTTGCTGAGTCTTCATGTGGCACCTTTATGATAGAAGACTGCAGGGTTACCTTGCTGATACTGTTCTCAAAACTAACTTCAGATGGAGGAATCATGGAGAGATGGTTCTTCCCAAGTTATTTGTATTGAGTTGGCAATTTAATTATAGTGTAGCCTTGAAGTGGAGAGAAGGTAAAAGAGAATTAAGAATTTAATTGGCCAATGTTTTTGTTTCTTTTAAAATATTTATTATTTTTATTTTATGTGTATGAGTATACTGCCTGCATGTATATGAGTGCACCCATGTCGTGCAATGCTGTGGAGGTCAGAAGAGGGCTTCGGATTCCCCTGGAACTGGAATTAAGGATGGTTAGTAGCTGCCGTTTGGGTGCTGGGAATCGAACCAGGGTCCTTTGTAAGAACAGTCAGTGCTCTTAACCTCTGTGCCATCTCTCCAGCTCCTCTTTGTTTTGAGTTAAAAAAAACAAAGGATCTCTCTGTAGCCCCAAGCTGGCCTAAATCTCACAGAGCTCTGCCTGCCTCTGCCTCCTTGTGCTGAAATGAAAAGTCTTGTACTACCATACCTGACCATATTTTTTTTTATTTTATGTGTATGAGTGTTTTGCCTACATGTATGTAAGTGCACCCATGTCATGCAATGTCTGTGGAGGCCAGAAGAGACCATCAGATTCCCTGAAACTGGAGTCATGGACCACTGTTAGCCATCATGTGGGTACTGGGAATGGAACCTGGGTCTTCTATAAGAGCAGCTAGTGCTCTTAACCACTGAGCCATCTCTCTAGCCCCTGACCAGTGTTTTAATGCATTCTGATATTTTTAGAGTTGAAGTCTGTAGATACATTTAGGCCTAAAAGTAAAGGGGATTGCAAAACATAGATGGACATAAGAATCCTTTATTTTTCCTAAATAAAAATCAGATGGAAGGGTTTAACTGAGGTGGTCAGGATGCCTGGTCTAACATGATGCTGTTCATACCCTCCGCCCTTACATGATGGAATTGGATAACCACAACAATTACATAGTGTGATTGTGTCACGTACCAAACATACCAAGAAATGTTTGGGAGTTAAAGTTGATCTACCAATGTAGGGGGGATTTCTCTTGTCCATTGGAACTGTTGGCCATCTTAAAAGTGAAACCCGCTGATCTTACTACAGAACCAGTTCAGAAACCAAGACGTGTAATGAGGCAGGAAGGTCTGAGCTCAATCACAAATAGCTTTTGTTTACAGCAGTTGTCTAAGAAAAACATTCAGGAGATATTGGAGAAGCTGGAAGGGTTTAATGACTACGTGAATTCTCCCTACTCCTCCTGAGGCTGCTAATTAGAACATTTTATTTGAAGACGCAAAGATTAAAAGTATTCACCATATTCTTGTATTTATCCAGCACTCATTTTGCATTCATCATCTGTGAACTTATAGAGCTTAAATTACATGTTGTGCTTGGGGACTGTGGGAATTCTCAGACAATTACATCCAATTGGAGCCTAGCTTAGATTAAGGTGAAGACCTTCTCTCTGAGTGAAAATACTTCCTTGGGAGTTAGTTCCTTTTTTGTGAGATCTGTTGGCAGCACTGAGGGCTCCCTTCATAAGGAAAGTCTACTCTGAGTGCAATATGAAGACTTGGGCCTTAAGCATAATAATGATTTTTTGATACCACTCTGAATATTTCAGGAAAAGGATAAAGAAAATAGAATGAACAACCTGGAAATGATTTTCTACTTCAACTATCCTGTTCGGATTGAAAAGCTAACCATGGTCCTTTGCTTCTTCACAGGTTCTTCTTGAAGTTTTTCCTTAAATGCAACCAAAATTGCCTAAAGAATGCAGGAAACCCACGTGATATGCGGAGATTCCAGGTGGGTCCCTCTCCCTTCTCTTAAATCTCAGTAATAACATGAACGGGAGGAGATGGTGAAAAGTCTTAGGCAGAAGACATGGAGTACAGTCATTCTCTAGAGGTAAAGAGCAGATGAGGCCCGTGGTCCCCAGGTGTCTGCAATCTAGGAGTTGTTTTTGTTAGACAAGAATTGGGGTGTACCACCTGCGCCCATTGACGAAGGCAGATGTGTCCTTAGAGCCTAGTTTGGGCTTCCTGAATGCACTCATTGATTGAGAGGATCATAAACCAAGTCAATTACATAGAAATAATGCTTTCCTTCTCTAAAACTTTTCAAAGTAGAACTCCAATACATAAGAGTTTTCATGCCATTCAAAGCATGAACGGCACGCTAACCTCACAGAATCACCCGTGTATCCAAAGGCCAAAGACCTAAAACCAAATGGATTGACTTGTAAAACACAGGTGTGTAGGTTTTTAGGCAAGGTTGCTGAATTCTAGACATAATGCTTTTCTAGCTTCAAGGGCTGATAATCCCCGGGGACCTTGTTAAACTACTGATTGAGGTCAGAGGTGGGACTGGAATTCTACATTTCTAATGAGCTCCCAGGTGGTGTAGAGCCAGAGAACATAACTTGCGTCGCAAAGTTAGGACCTTTCCTTGCATTGCTCTCCATCTTTATTGTGAAGCTCTTAGCAGCATCAGTGTTGACATGTGCTTGTACAGTATGTCAGAGAAACAGCTTGGTGTTGAAAGGATGCGCTTATGTCTGTTGAGTCCGTTTAGAGTGTCGATTTCAGTGTATGTTCTGAGAGGCTTGTGAAAAATTTTAGCTGCACAACCTCTGAGGAGGAAATAGAAAGATGGTTTTGAGCATTGACTATACATATCAATATTTTAGGCTACAAGATTATTTTTTTTTCAGAAGTGAGGCTTAGTAATCTCAAATTCAGTGGAAAGATGAAGTTCTCTCCTGTTATCTTGAAGAATTTCTATAAAATCTTCCTAGCCTTAACACTTTTTTGTCTTGATTAATGGGGCCAATCTATAAGGTCATAGATTTTTGAGGTCTGTTTCCTGGGTCAGCTCCTATGTCCAAGTTGGTTTGCTTAGGTGTCCCCATTCCCACACAGGACTTTGTTGAGCTGGGATGAGCTTTGCAATGAAGCTGGTGAACCCATTTGTGTGCTGCTGCTGTTTTCCAAAGCGCCTTGAAAAATGACATTAGGGTTTTGCTATGCATAATCTTATAGCTTGCTGTGGTCTTAAGATGAGCCGTGTATCTCTTCTGACCAAGCTAAGTAATGCAGAAAGAAGATATCCAGGCTAGAGATGATTTATGTCTCAAATATATCTCATGATTTTCCCAGTATTGACTATTCTGTATCCCTCAGGGCAGTAGAGTTGAGATGGGCTTTAGTGACACTGGGAGCCTCAAAGAACATTTGTGTAGAACTTCACAGGACCTGCTAATGAGATGTGGGTTTTAAGAATATAGCACTATGTGAGGCAGGAAGCTAGTTCAGGTTATTCTTTGCGATAGTGTCTAAAAGTCTTTATTCTTTTGCACATAAAATCATTATTTTTTGTTTAATGAAAGACTAGAGAGGAGAAGAGACATGAGTTAGATTTCTGAACAGTCCTGTAGTCTTTGGAATCTTAATTCCCTCATCTTTAAAATGAATAGCGATGATTCTGCTTATTTCAATATATCTGAAAAAGGAATATAGAAATGATAAAACACAAATGTAAGCCTTTGGAGAAAAATCCTCATTATAAGTTGAATTTGGTTTAGTTTAGCCTAAGGTTCTCAACCTGGGAACAAATAATGTTAGACTAGATAATCCCTCTGGTTGATGGTGGGGTTGTTCTGAGTGCTGTGGGATGTTTAGAAGTGTCACTGGTCTCTGCCCACTGAATAGCAACAGAGAGAGATCCACTTCTCTCAACTTGGTAATCAGTTTGTCTCTAGACATTACTAAATACCCCATGGTGGGGAAAAGAGATGTAAAACTGTTCCTGATGGAGTGGAATTTGTTCTTTTCTATATTTGATAACCTTTGACATGTCCCTGATAATAGTGTTAGTACTACAAAAAATGCATTGTTTGATTAGCATGAGAGCCTTCTGACAAAGGTCCATACTGACCTTCAAATACACATGCTTTCTATGAACCTTCCTAGAGCTTTTGCCTGTGACTCCCAAACAGATTCTAAAATAGACAGAACCCTGTGACTCTGAAGCAGATTCTAAAATAGAGTTTTCTCAAAAGCAGCTGCTACCTCAGCCATCACAGAGTCCATTCCTGAGTTAAGAAAATCTGTCTTTGCCAACCATGATAAACTCTTACCGGAGCTTAGGTTCAACTTCTTTGTATCATCCACTCATTGCCTTTTGGGAGAGGTTGCGGAAACCTCTTGTGGGATGAATAGTCTCTCATATTGTATCTCTGTACATTTATACATTTGTGTAGATACCATTCTGTACACTTAGCATTTGGTCTTAGGCTACAAGTTATAAGTATGGGGACATTTCTGTGATCAGGAGTGATGAGTGATCTCAAGAGTGTTAGAACCGACTGGCAAAGGTTCCTTGTCTAGTCTTTCAATGTTTCTCCAGTCTTTTTTCTTCCATAATTCTTATTCGACCTTTGTCTGCATCATTTCATACTGATGGTAATAACCTCCATCTGAAATCCATCTCTCTTCCTTAAATTGTGTGGCACCATTCATTTCTACGTGACCCCTTTCAAGGGATGCTATCTGTGTCTATCTTTCCTGTGATGATGGTACTCCCAGGTGTCTTCCCAAGGACAGGCTTCTGAGTATCTCCTTGGTTTCTAGCACGACAGCCACTCTTTGAGAAGTGAGGATTATAGGCTAAAGGTCTCTAAGACTTGGCTCTTTCTCAAACCTTAACTAAGCTCACGGGCCTTACCCTGAACTCATTGTCTCCCTCATTTATTTCTTCCTTCTTTATTAACCGGGCTGCTTCTCTCTTTCCTGCAGTTGTTCACTTCTAACTAATTTCATGAAGTTTTTGGCAGATAAGAACCAGTTTATACCAGTGTCTATGTTCGGTGCATTCCATATTCATGTGCATAGATGCATGTGTCTGCCTTTATGTGCATCCATGGACATTAGTGATAGTGATGATGATGAAGCTAAAATTTACTGGTTACGTATTTTGTGAGTGGCATTATCTGAAGTATTTTATGTGGGTTACAGATATTGTTACAGCATTCCTGTTAAGGACGTGCAAATATGGATTGTTCCCATTTACAAATGAGGAAGCAACCTTAGAGCACTACAGTAAAGTAGTTTGCTCAAAGTTACACACCTACTAAGTGGTAAGGTGGACGTTGAACCCACACAATGTGACTTTGATATTAGCTGATACTTTGAAACAACAAAGAAATCCTCTAGAGTCCATAGGTAGATACTTTGTGTGGTAATAAGGAGATAGGTTAGCATCAAAGGGCAATACCAACATCCTAAGGATAAGTTCCTGTACCCCAGAAATGCCTGAAGGGTTTCCAAAAGAGACCTCATATGTGAGTTTGAAGCCTCACTCAAATTCATCACACAGGGAGGGGATTTGTGTGGAAAGGGGCAAGCTCTGTTTCAGAGGGGAGCCACAGCCCTAAGAAATTTCTCTCATGGGAAATTTCAGAGCAGTAGCTGTTATCAGGCGCTGAGTCTCTCTCCCCAAAGGCAGTCTGCACCAGTTCTCGAGGGCAAGAAATCCTTTGCCTGCTTGGTGCCTGGGTGGGGCTGTCTTCATGTTTTGGTTGTTAGCCTTAGCCTTTAACGGCTGTGCTATCCCTCCAGCCCAAGTGGAGCTGTTTCCAGATGTCCAGAAGACTGTTAAAAAATTGTACAGGGGCTGGAGATATGGCTCAGTGGTTAAGAGCACTGGCTGTTCTTGCAGAGGACGTCGGTTCAAATCCCAGCACCCACCTGGTGGCTAACAACTTTCCATAACTCCAGTTCCAGGGGATCCGACATCCTCTTCTGTCCTCCATGGACATTGCACGGCACAGGTGCACTTAACATATATTCAGGCAATACACATATAGACATAAAATAAAAAAATCAATTAAAAAAATTGTACAGAGGTTCTTAAATCTTAGGACCCAATCAAGTGGAGAGGCAGTGCTCCTGACATGGATTGGAGGTTCATTATGAACAAAGATTAACATTTCTACCTTTTGTTTCAACTTGAAAATCTAGCTTCATATAATTTATGCTCTTGCTGCCTGTGAAGAGAACTCTGATATGCCTTTTCCATACCAATGATACCGAAAAGGCTGAATCCTGGAATCAGTTATGGATGCGGCCTCCTTGGCCTGTGCAGTGGCTCTTGCCAGCTGTCCCTGATGGTCCTCTCTTGTCTTATTCTGTATGCTTCCTAGGCCAAGCCAGATCTTCATACAACCAAGCCAGAGCAGGTCTCCTCAGAACATCAATCAGTCAGGGACCCATGTAGGTGGCTGAGGGAGATGTGAGGACATAAGTATGGTTGTGGATCTGATACGTAAAGACATTCTGTCAAGCAAGCTCAATCTCACAGTGGCTGGGCTTCTAGTGGATAAACAGAGACTACTTAATTACACAGGTCATGTCAATTACTGTGACCTGAGTGTTCTAAAAAGAATTAATCACTTTCTGCAAAGCTCAGTTGTGTCAATACTTTTAGGCAGTATGGCATAAACCCTGTAGAGAATCTACTACAATTTTTTTGGAAATAATAGGGGTTTTCTTTCTGAAATCCTTAGGCTGTGGTTAGGCTAACACTCTTACTTAAATACACAGTGGATACAGGCTTCGTTTAGTTGTGGGGGAAGGACAGAGGAAAGAGAGAGGGTAAACTGGGGCTAGAAGCAGCCTATGACAGAGGGAGCAATTCAATGTGACTAAATGAGCCCGTTTCTTCATCTTGACAGTAAAAAGATGCTAATGTTAAGGGACCGTGTTAAAGCCATGTCACAGCCCGGCTTTTAACTGACAGGAGCCAGA